AAGTGGATTACATGAGACCTGTATGTGGTAAGGTCATTGAAATAGGAGCAATTGTTGTTTATAAACAAGCCATTAGCCTCCTCCATCAGACTTGGTGGGAAACTTCCCAGGATACAGATAGGTCAGGGATGACTTGTTCTAGGAAGAGGCCTTTCCTGGAAGCTGGGAAGTCTCCTTTCTCTATTCTAGTTCTGGTCATCTGGGCACACCACAGATCTCTCTCTCTCCACCCCTGAGCTTCCCACAAGATGCTGGGGAAAAGTAGAATAAGAAGCCATTGTCCTTGATAAATGATCTTGGGATGGGCTAAGGCCCTCCCCTTTGAAAGCCTCCTAAAAATGATACTTTATTTTTTATTTTTTTTAAAGATTTTATTCATTTATTTGAGAGAGAATGAGATAGAGAGAGCATGAGAGGGGGGAGGGCCAGCGGGAGAAGCAGACTCCCCGCCGAGCAGGGAGCCCGATGCGGGACTCGATCCTGGGACTCCAGGATCATGACCTGAGCCGAAGGCTGTCGCGTAACCAACTGAGCCACCCAGGCGCCCCTAAAAATGATACTTTAAATCTGCTGCCCTTTCTGTCCCCAGTCAAGGGGAGAAATTTAGTAATTAGAAAAGGCAAATTGGAAACTTAATTAGGCAAGTGGCACTTTCATCAATAAATATAGCAGCACTCTCAACAGTGAATATTGTGTACCTTGTAACAAAACTGAGGGTAGCAAGTGGGTAAATGCTCTTAACAAATAAGCTTGGTAAGAAGTAGAGCGATTATTTATGGTAATAAAGAGTATGGATGATCATGTGGACCATATGGGGCTTTCAGAAATAATTCTTCTGGTGATGAGACATGCTGATTTTAGGTACCTTAGGAGAGAATCAGCTGCATCCCAGAGTGTAAGAAAGACCCTCCAGCATTTGTCTCCCCACTCACCATTCTAGGACCCTCAGAAGGTAGTCAGGGAGTACTCAGACCAGAGCATAATTGAGATTCACCTTTGGAAGCTGATGAAGCGGGGAACTGGCAAGATGGAGAAGGGACTGCTGAGAACTGAGTGTTCTGAGTTTGATGAAAAAAGATTACAGACCCCATGGGAAAGGGAAGAAGTGGGGACAGTAGGAAAAGAGATTAAATTATGAGAGAGCCAAGAAATGGAGAAAGGGTAAAGTTTATTGAAGGAGATGTTTTAATAATTACTTTCTCCAAATCCAGGATTAGGGACATCCCTTAGTCCTAAATAGGGCTCATACCTTAACCCAGAGGTAAAACACCTGCTCTTCCTCCTAACTCTATAGCTTAGGACAATTATCTGATACCTTTTAGTAAATAAGCATTTTATTAGAGTTAGTGTTTAGTCACTCTGGAGACAGGCAGGTGAGGCAGTGCCAAAACAAACCCACTATTGCTTCTCTGAAGGGCAGGATAAGACACCACATAGGGGCCTTGTGGGCAGCAAGGAGCATCAACTTGCAGGCAACACCATGATGAATACAACAGTAAGGTCACTACACCCACTTTGGGGATGGATAAGGAATGTGTCTACTTCTGAGGAGACAGAACCAGAATGTGATATGGCCTCTGGCTAGATCCAAAAAGCAACTTTTAAGCTCCCATGAGTGCCCAGGGCATGTACTGGATTTGTAGCTGCAAGGAAAGGGAATGGGGTCAGGAATGGGTCTTCAAGTCTTATCAAAGGGACAGGTGACATGAAGAACAGTCCCATATATAAAGACATTTGAAGCGTCCCTGGTTACAGGATCAAACTTGTCTTCCAGAAAGGGCATGGAAGGTCACAGACAGCCCATGAGATGCCTGACAATGGAACAACAGGGCTGGCAGGCCAAGACTAGATTGGGATAAGCTGTCCCCCATCAGGAAAATTTCCTTTATTTTGCAATTAGTGAAATACGCACACACAGGCAAGAAAAATGTGCCTAGAAGTGTATTTTTACTTCTTTTATTGAACTCCATAAATATTTTCATAAGGCTTTGTGTCATTACAACATCATAGTTTTGTTGTTAAACATTTTTTTTTTAAACACACAACTTTGACACTTGTTTGACAGGGTCAAACAATCAGAAGAAACAAAATAATAAACTGGCAAATGCAGAGCAGCAGGGGTAATCAAAATCACTGTTACCCATCCATCCACCCCAGCCCACCCCAGCCCCAAAGCACTAAAGATCACTATTTGGCTTCACAGTAGAATTGTCAGAACTCTCTTGCTGCTGTCCTTGATAAATCCATTAGAGTTATACACATAGAGAGAAGAGGAGAGTGGGAGAGAGAAAGAGGAGTTAGATTTCTGTGTTAGGACTATCCCACAGCAGGGCCCATAAAACACACTAGCAAAGCCTTTTGAAGAACAAATCCAGGCCTCATTGAGTTGAGAAAAGGGGAGCTTGGGGGCCATGCACATATAGAGGAGATTTACAGAGTTCTTGGGGATAGCACTGCTGTGGGGACACAGAATAGACCTGGACCCTGATCCCAGGTAACAGGGCTCCCCTTGGGGCTGTTGGTCACTGGTCTGCTTTGCTGCCATAGGCTGGGGAAACACTCAAACCAATGGTAAACTGATTTCTTGTTGTTTTCACAAGTTATTGGCATCTGGTGAGGCCAGCTGTTTGAGTAGATGAGAGGTGGGTGGCAAGAGGTAATATTCCTGATCCTGAAGCTCTGGGCACAGGCTCAGGGGAGAAGGGCATGGAGGGAGAGCAAGGGGGCTTGGCTAAGAGAGGCCCAGGGACTTGGCCAAGCATCCCCTCTTGGTTTGCTCCTAGCCCCTGGAGAAACATGTCAAGGTTAAGCCTAGTGGAGAACGGAAAGTAGGAAAAGAACGGATACTTAAGGGAGGCCTACAAAGCCATTGAAACACATGTTATTTGCCAGGGAGGCCATTGTAGCTTAGGCAGTGGATACCAGGTTCCTTGCCAAGGTGGGACTTTAGTAGCTGGGTCATTTGCTGAGCAGTTGTGGCCGGTCCCGAGCCCCAGCCCCCTGCCCAGCTCAGGCTTACCCCACAAGTCTGATTTGAATGTGGTGGAATGGAAGCAAACAGCTTGTAATTTGATTCCCACAGAGGAATAATTCCCAGGCTGGGCAGGGCCTGGTCTGGGTCAGGAGGCATAGAGCAGCAATCAAGTCAGCTATGCTGAGGGCCTCATGTAGCCATGGCTGCTGCTCAGTAAGCTGAGGTCCTTTCATGATGAAGTTTTCTCCTAGGTTCCAGAACATACTCACAATTTCCAGATTCCTCATTAGAGTGGTTCTCCATAGCAGGGCCCATTCTCACTCCTTTGTACTCCATTCTCCTTGCTGTTCAAGGTCTGTCCACCTGAAGGGCTATGTGAGGAGCAGGAACAGGTACTCCTGCCCCCATAGGGAGCCTGCCTCTTAGTGGGAGAAGTTAGTTTTGCCTAAGTATAAAGCCTGCCAAAAATAAGTCTGAGGGTAGTGTCTCTACCTCAGATCTTTTCTCCATAGGGAAGTTTCCCTGGGCTCCTCACTTACTTGCTTCCAATGTCCTGGGATAGGAGAATTTTGGCAATAGGGCCTTCTTAGAGTGACAGAGTTCTTTAACTATGCTAATAGCAGGAATTTTCCTGTGCCAGGAGAACAGGAGAAAGAAGGACAACAGGGAGAGGAGAAGGAAGTAATCATGGAAGATTGTCCATGCAATCTGTTAACAATGGGGAAAGTCTCACATAACTTGAGTGGTAGGAACTGCAGGTACATATCTTGGGCTAGGGCTGCCTCTTTCCATGCCCATTCCTGTTCTTTCCTTTAAGAGGTTATGGTCAGCCTTGGATCCTGTCCAGGTCAATAATTTGAAGGCAGCTGATGATCTTGGTCAGGTGGGCTCTGTCTTGACCCCTTCATAGACTCCTATAAATGCTGCCTGTAATCTGAAAATGGAAGCAGGGATGACCAGGCCTCTGAAATGATTTCAGTGGGGAACCCCAACTTTAAGTCAACTTGGTGCTAGAGGCAGTTGAATCCCTCCCCTGGGAAGCAGAGTCTCAGCCCCTTTGCTTCAAGTTCTGATCTTTTAGGTTAGGGGAGGGAGGAGGCCTACAAGGAACACCATAACCAAATCAACTTGAAGAAGAGAATAATTGGCTCAAACTAAACCCCAGATACAAAACTGCTCATGACCCAGCAGTGCTATAACATGGGAACCCCAGTGCTAGGAGAAGAGCCCAAATGCAGAATGTTCCCTGAACAGAAGTCCTCTCCAGAATTATTATACTCTGACTCTCCCTTGATTCTGTTTGGTTTTGATCCCTCTATGACATCTAAAACACAGTGAAAGCAATAGAAATATCAAGCAGTTATGTCACAGGGCACAACAGAGCATGTCTAGACTGGCACGACTGAGGACAGAAGATGCAGGGAAAAAGCTGTCTGGGGCAACTGCTGGGCTGTAGAAACAGTCACAGATGGTCAGCTGAGGGAAAAGAGAAAGGGGAATCCTCCCTTTACCCATTGAAAAGGAAAAGGAAAAAAAGAAATTTCAAACTCCCAAACTCCATCACATCAAAGTAAATTCAAAAGTTATCAGCATCAGTATCATCAGGAAAGAAAAAAAAATACAAACACATCTATGGTAATAATGACAAGTCAATGAATCACTCACGAGGGAGCAAAGAGATTATCTCAACAAGAAAAGGAACACATAGAAGTGTCAATTTCTGAAAATAAAGGGGAGGGGGACAGGGTAAGAACAGAAAACTTTTAAGAAGGGATCACATGTTTAGAAGTCATTGGTACCTCTTCCTACCAACTACAGATTTCACTTCCCCAAAACAACAGAAAATGTTTTTTTTCTGGTCCTTCTGTGTGTGTGTGTGTGTGTGTGTGTGTCTGTACACTCAAGGGTCTGTGTGTGTATGTGTGTCTCTCTATATATAAATATATATATAGGTATATATATTTATATATATATAAATTTCAACAGTGCTTCTCCAAAAAAATGTCCATCTATAAATATAATTTTATTTACTTTATTTTAAAATTATCTGCCTCCCTGTAATTATTATTTTTTGAAGGGGGTTAACCTGCTGAAGTTTTGCCAGAATGGTGACTGGCTGCGCTTGGGTTCGGTGAACTCAAAGACCTGTGACTGAGCGATGCCATCAGGGACCAGGTACTGGCCCTGGTTTAACGGGTCCTGCGGTGGTGGGTAGGAAGGAGGAACTGAGCGGGCAGAGTTGACACCTAGAGTAGATGGGAGATCAAAGGGAAAGAGTATAAGTTAAGTAGCAAGGGGTTTCCCAAATCACCCAGTGACCACTTTGAGCAGACAATTAAAGGCAGCCTATTTTAGAGAGTGTGAACTGGAACTGAAAATCATCCAAAGGAAGAAGTGCATTCCTTAACAGATTTTGGAATGGTATGGTGACTAATGCAACAACACACACTTTCCCATTTACTCAGGTATCACTGAGAATCTTGTGGTGTTGTCATCAGTGGTTTTACAGATGAGGACACTGAGACCTGGGGTGAAATGTCATACCCAAGGTCATAAAGCAAGGGATAGAATCCACATTCTTTCTCAGTTCAGAGCTCTTTTCTTTTTTTTTAAAGATTTATTTATTTATTAGAGAGAGAGAGAGCTAGAGCAGGGGCAAGGGGAGGGGCAGACCCTGAGATCATGACCTGAGCCAAAACCGAGTCAGATGCTCAACTGACTGCACTACCCAGGCTCCCCCAGAGCTCTTTTCAAGAGACCATAATCCATTATGCCAGACTTGGTCCTGCAAATCGCCCAACAATTTCCATTTAATTTCAAAGGAATTTGGCTTTCTCCCTCTTCAACTCCCCCCTAGAAGTGTCAAAAGAGCCTGGTTAAGAGCTACTGACTTTGAAGCAGGTCTTTTGTTGGAAAATGGGTTTCTAAAATTTAAGGTACAAGTGATCCAGTATTCTACACCATGTGATGAAACCATATTTTGGTGAAACCAATTTTCAAAGCAAAATTCACATGAATAGGGGATTCCAGGGTGTGTGTGGGGGTAAATTTAAAGTTTAATCCTAACCTATTTTCAGAACATAACAGCATACAGCATATGATTCAGAATGCAATGAAGACCTCTCTGCTGCTCCCAAATAGCTTCCTCATCTGCAGACCAATGTCTGAAATTTCAACATCACAACTTCTTTGTTTGCCTTTGTTTGATGACTTGATCCCATTACCCTAGAAGTAGTACCATATTGAGCCATCGTCAGCCACTGGCACTTCAGTAGGAAGCAACGAGCTATTTTCTAAAAGCCAATATTGTTTTGTTTTGTTTTTGTTCTTACTTTTATTTTCAAGATTTATTAAGATATAATTGTGTATAACATTCTGTAAGTTTCAGGTGCAATGTGATGATTTGATACACACACACACACACACATATATATAACAAAATGATTACTACAATAAGGTTAGTTAGTATATCCATCATTTCATAAAATTACTTCTTTTTGGTGGTAAGAGCATTTAAGAACTACTCTCTTAGCAACTCCCAAGTTAAAATATTAACTATAGTCACCATGCTGTACGTTATATCACCAGAATTCTTCATCTTATAACTAAAGTTTGTGCCCTTTGACCAACATCTTGATACTTCCCTCAACCCCAGACCCTGGCAACCACCAATCTACTTACTGTTTATAAGTTTGTTTTTAGATTCCAGTATAAATGAGATCATATAGTATTTATATTTTTATAGTATAATGCCTTCAAAGTCCATCCATGTTTCTATAAACGGCAAGATTTCCTTATTTTTATGGCTGAATAATATTCCACTGTATATATCACATTTATTTTATCCCTTCATCTGCTGAAGGATATGTAGGTTGCTCACTGTCTTGGCTATTGTGAATAATGCTGCAATGAACATGAGGGTGCAGACATATCTTTGAGATCCTGATTTCATTTTCTTCCCATATATACTCAGAAGTAGGATTACTGGATCAGATTACTACTCTATTTTCAACTTTTTGAGGACCCTCCATACTGTTTTCAGAGTAGCTTACAAATTTACACTCCTACCATCAGTGTCCAAGGGTTCCTTTTTCTCCACATTCTCACCAGCACTTATCTCTTGTTTTTGTTTTTTTTAAGACACTCTAACAAATATAACATCTCATGGTTTTGATTTGCATTGTTCTGATGATTAGAAATATTGAAAACCTTTTCTTACACCTATGGAACATTTACATGGGCAAAATGCATGTTTTCTTTGGAAAAACGTCTATTCAGGTCCTTTGCCCATTCTTTTTTTTTTTTTTTTTTTTGTAGTTGAGTTGTATGTGCTGCTCATATATTTTGGGTATTAATCCCTTATCAGATATGTGGTTTGCAAATATTTTCCCTTACTCTGTAAGTTGTCTTTTCATTTGTTGATTATTTCTTTTGCTGTGCATAAGCTTTTTAGTTTGATGTAGTCCCACTTTTTTTTCTGTTGCTTGCGCTTTTGGTGTCATATTCAAAAACTTGTTACCAAAACCATGTCAAGGAATATTTTCCCTATATTTTCTTCTAGGATTTTTGTGGTGTTGAGTCTTACACTTAAGTCTTTAATTCATTTTGAGTTAATTTTTCTGAGCAGTGTAAGATAGGGATCTAATACATTCTTTTGCATGTGAACATCCAATTTTCCCCAATACCATTTATAAAAGAGGCTATCCTTTCCCCATTGAATATTCCTGGCCTCCTGATAAGTATTGGTTGACTATGGGTTTATAGTTGGGCTCTTGATTCTCTCCCATTAGTCTATATGTCAGATTTTATGCCAGCACCATATTGTTTTGATTACTATAGCTTTGAAATAAAGTTTGAAATCAGAAAGCATGATGCCACCAGCTTTGTTCTTCTTTCTCAGGATTGTTTTGGTTATTCAGGGTCTCTTTTGTTTCCATGTGAATTTTATAATTGTTTTATCTGCTTCTGTGAAAAATACCATGGAATTTGAGATAGGGATTACAATAAATCTACAGATGGCTTTGGGTAGTAAGGGCATTTTCACAACAGTAATTCTTAAAATCCATAAATACAGAATATCTTTCCATTTTTTGGTGTTTCTTCAATTTCTTTTATAAATATCTAATAGTTTTCAGTGTACAGATTTTTAACCTCCTAGGTTAGATGTATTCCTAAGTACTTTATCCTATTTCGTGCTATTGCAAATGGGATTGTTACATTAATTTCTCTTTTCAATGTTCATTGTACTGAAACACAAATGATTTTTGTACTTATATTTTGTATCCTGAAACGTTATTGAATTCCATTATTATTCTAGTATTCTTTTTTTTCAGATTGGCTTTTTAAAAAATATTATTTCTTAGGAGAGTCTTTAGATTTTTTTTATATGAAATCATGTCATCTGCAAACAGAGACAATTTTACTTCTTCCTTTCTGACTTTTATGTCTTTTTCTTGCCTGATTGCTCTGGGTAGGACTTCCAGCAGTATGTTGAATAGAAGTGGTGAGAGTTGGCATCCTTGTCTTGTTCCTGATATTAGACAAAAGCATTTAACAATTCACCACTGAACATGCTTGTTAATATTGGTAGGCTTGTCACATAAGGCATTTATTATGTTGAAGTATGTTCCTTATATACAAAATTTATCGAGAGTTTTTTTCATGAAAATATGTTGATATGGTTTCACTCATATGTGGAATATAAGGAACAGTGCAGAGGACCATAGAGGAAAGGGAGGCAAAACTGAAAGGGAAGAAATCAGAGAGGGAGACAAACCATATGAGACTCTTGACTCTGGGAAACAAACTGAGGGTTGCAGAAGGGGAGGTGGGTGGGAGGATGGGGTAACTGGGTGATGGGCATTAAGGAGGGCATGTGACATGATGAGCACTTGGTGTTATACACAACTAATGAATCACTGAATAGTACATCAAAAACTAATGATGTACTATATGTTGGCTAATTGAACTTAATAAAAAAAGAAAAAATGTTGAATTTTTCAGATGTTTTATTGCATCTATAAAGATGTGATTTTATCTTACATTCTGTTAATGTGGTGTATCGCATTTATTGATTTGCATATTTTGAATGACCCCTGCTTCTTAGAGATGAATCACTAGATGATGGTGTATGATCCTTTTAATGTGCTGTTGAATTGTTCTGCTAGTATTTTGTTGATAATTTTTGCATCTATACTTATCAGAAATATTGGCCTGTATTGTCTTGTATTGCCTTTATCTAGCATTAGTGTCAGTGTAATCCTGGCCTCATAAAATGAGTTTAGAGGTATTCCTTTCAAGTTTTTGGAAGAGTTTCAGAAGGACTGGTATTAATTCTTCTTTAAATGTTTCATAGAATTCACCAGTGAAACCATCTGGTCCTAGGCTTTTCTTTTGGGGAGGTTTTTGATTACTAAGTCAATCTTCTTAGTCGTTATTGGTCTGCTCAGATTCTTTCTTTTTTTTTTTTTCTATCACTTTTATTGAGTTAAAATAGACATATTACATTGCATAAGATTAAGGTGTACAACAATGATTTGATGTATGTATACATTGCAAAATGATAACCACGTTAAGGTTACTTCACACCTATCACCTCACATAGTTACATATTTTTTCTTTTGATTAGAACTTTTAAGATCTACTCTTTAAAAACTTTCAAATTTACAATACAGTATTATTACCTTGGTGACCATGCTATACAGAACTTATTTATTTTATAAGCTTGTATAATTTGAATACCTTTACTCATTTCCTCCACCACATACCCCCTGCATCTGGCAACCACCAAACTGTTCTGTTTCTATGAGTTCAATTTTTATTACATCCCACATATAAGTGAGGTCATACATTATTTGTCTTTCTCTGAATTATTTCACCTAGAACAATACCTTCCAGGTTCATTCATGATGTGGCAAAACGCAGGATTTCCTTCTTTTATGACTGAATATTCCGTGTGTGTGTGTGTGTGTGTGTGTGTGCGTGTGTGTACTTTATCCACATTTATTTTATCTATTTGTTTGCCAAAAGACATTTAGGTTGTTTCTATGTCTTGGCTACTGTGAATAATGTTGCAATGAACATAGGGAGCAGATATTTCTTTGAGACAGTGATTTTATTTCCTTTAGATGTATACCCCAAACTGGAATTGCTGGATCATATGGTAATTCTATTTTTTATTTTATTTTATTTTTATTTTATTATCTTATGTTAGTCACCATACATCATTAGTTTTTGATGTGGTGAT